CAACAAGAAGTATGGTGGTAGATAATTGCTAGCTTTGATTATCACAGTTACCTTTTGGCTTTTTGTCTTTGTGCTTGTTGCCCCATAGTTACAAGGTAAGTGTTGTAGCTTCTGGCCTCATGGACACAGTTCAGGAAGGGAGAAGGAGGGACCACCAGCTCTGCTTCCCAAGATGCCCCAGCTGACTTGCATTTATACCTCATTGTCTAGAGCTGTGTCAATGGCTATTAATACAAGGGTAGGTGGCAAGGGCATAGCATCAACCAATCATGATTCACTCCCAGACCTAGACACATTACTGCCCAAATAAAATCTGGGCTCTGTTTTTAGAAAGAAGAAATTTCTAATGTCTTTCTTAGGCAAACCGATAGTTTGTTGTTGTTGTTGTTGTTTTAAGATTTTATTTATTTATCTGACAGAGAGAGAGACACAGTGAGAGAGGGAACACAAGCAGGGGGAGCAGCAGAGGGAGAGGGAGAAGCAGGCTTCCTGCTGAGAGGGAGCACGATGCGGGGCTCAATCCCAGGACCCTGGGATCATGACCTGAGCCGAAGGCAGATGCTTAACAACTGAGCCACCCAAGAGCCCCAAACCGATAGGTCCTGCCACAGTTAGTGGATTCCCCCACAAAGAAGTACCCATAACACATGATTGTTTGTTCCTCACTTACCGGGTTAAATTCATCCACAGTAAAATATGTACATGATAACTGAGAAGTTACCATAATTTGCCTGCGTCTATGTCAGACATGAAAATTGCAGATGAGCCCGTGGGCAAATGCCCACCTAAACACTGGAAGCACTTAACCTTGTTTATGTGATCCCTCAGGAGCAGAGAAGAGAAACCTGACTTCATCTTAATGAAAGCTCTTAAAGGGCATCAGGCAATAAAACACCCTTGTAACTCAACCGAGTATCCTCTTACTGCCCTGCGGACTCTGACCTAACTTCCCTCCCTGCGCAACCGCACTGCCCACTGTGTCCACCCTGGCTAATTCACGATGCCACTTATCACCCTCAGGAGGTGGCAACAAACGTTCTCACAATTCCAAGCCGCAGGTATCAGACACATCGACATTAAGCATCGAATGGATCATTTCTTTTTTTTTTTTTAAAGATTTTATTTATGTATTTGACAGAGAGAGACACAGCAAGAGAGGGAACACGAGCAGAGGGAGTGGGAGAGGGAGAAGCAGGCCTCCCGCCGAGCAGGGAGCCCGATGCGGGGCTCGATCCCAGGACCCTGGGATCATGACCTGAGCTGAAGGCAGACACTTAATGACTGAGCCACCCGGGCGCCCCTCGAATGGATCATTTCTTAAATTACTCTTCAAGTTGGATGTTGTTTGTAACTATTTTCCATTTTTTTGTGGGGCCAGAGAGACCTCAGATGCATTCTAGAGTGGAAAAGTTCTCAAAAACTAACAAAAAAGTACAGACTTTACAAAAAGTAGAACCTTCTCAGATGGTGAAATGAAAGCACGATCAGAAGTCTTTTTAAATTAATTTGGAGAAAGCAGATTTAAAAAAAAAAAAACAAAAAACCTCCTCATGGTTGAAATCATGAGGCGATGTGGTATGGTAGAAAGAACAAAAAGAATCAGAATTCCTGAATGCTAAGCCATGTTTGTCTAGCTACAAGCCCTGAGAGAACCTGCCTCTGCGCTAAGGCTGAGATACTTTCTGCCAACACCATAAATTTGGGTGGTGGGCATGGGGTTGACCAAAGAAATATGGTATTTTGCAGGAAGTGCTTTCTAAGTAGCTGCATTGTATTTTGCAGCAAGCTTGTGGAAGATGCTACAATGTGCTCTTTACCCTCATCTCATTTGAGTGCAATCTACTTAGTAGATTTTACAGTTGGGGAACTTGAGGATTAGAAGAGCTCAAGTCACTTAGTGTTGATTATATAGATAGAAAATCAGCAAGCAAAGATTTAGGCTTGGGTCTGTATGGCTCTTTCCACCATGGGATTATTGTTTTCAGTTGAGAATCACAAACACACACGCACACACACACACACACACACACACGACTGTAGTGTCTATATTCTCTAGCTTGTCCACTTTTCAAAATATCTGTCAGATCTGCCCAAAGTAATATTTTAGAATCTTTATTTTTTTAAGATTTTATTTTTTAAGTAATCTCTACACCCAATGTTGGGCTCAAACTCACAACCCCGAGATCAAGAGTCACATGTTCTACCCAGTGAACCAGCCAGGTGCCCCAATATTTTAGAATCTTTAAACAAAACTCAACAACTTACTCCAGTATCTCTGTCCTCCTCTGACAAATTCACTATTTTAGAAAGACACACACACTCATACACACATGCATATACACAAACACAGACCATTTTGGATCTTACTGTTTGGGGTGAACTATCAGAAGATGAATAAAGTGGCTAAAACAGAATACACTGAAAAAAATGAAAAGAGCAAAGTTGCTGAAGCTACAAAACTTTTAGAAGCCAATAATCTTGGGACAGAGAAGCTTACTGACGTTTTGGATAGATATGGAAAATCAAAGAGGTGGGAATTATGATGAGAAAATGATTCTGCCTTTTAAAAATGAGAAGGAGGGAAAAGAGCGGCATAAGCCAGGGAAGTAATTATACTAGGATACATCTAGTCGCAGGAAAAGTTCTTTGATAACCAGAAAACACCACATTATAAAGCAAGAGATTTAATACCCCTAAGTCCATTTCAGATAGAATCTTTCCCATGCTGGAAATAATTGAAAAACAGAGTCATGCCACTGACCACTTTATGACTTCTTTGATTTCTCCAGGCTGTTTGAAGAGTTGAATTCTGGAAAGGATTTGAAAACTGTCCATACCAATCCTGACCAGCTAATTGCCAATGAAGAATTAATAACTCTGCAATTATATTAAAGGTGAAAGAGGTCCCAGGGAACAATTCTAAAAACAACAACAAAAAAAATGGACTGACATAGGATAAAAGCTTGATTGGTGACAGCCATGACTATTAAGATGTTGAGCCTGAGTTCAAAGGGAGGACAAGAGCAACTTTATGTTTGACAATCTCTAGACAAGGCCATCACCCTCTACCAAGTACATACCAACTTATTCAGGTATGATATTCCATTTCATATATCCTTCCTTCAACCACCAAAGTTTTATAAGTGCTACCAGATTTGTTTACCATGCTATGTACCTGGATTTGTCCTCAAGCTTTTGCATCTAAGTCATTAATTCAGCCATCATCAAGGTACAGGTAGATTTATGACAGAGCAGCACAGATAGACTTATTCTTCTGGAGTTGTAGGTGGGTAGTCACCTTATGGAACTCATTAATCCCCAAAGCTGATAGAGCTTGAAAATAGAGATAGATCGCAAGCAGGTTTTGATAATTCTTGGATGACAGATCATAATGGGTTATTAAGAAAAGAAAGAGGTCTAACAATTATCTACTGAGCCTCTATTAGGGTTGCCACATAAAATACAGAACACCCAACTAAATGTGAGTTTCAGATAAAGAATGAACAATATTTTGGTAAGTATGTCCCATGAAGAATTTGAGATGTAGAGTAAAAGGTATTTATCCGAAATTTAAATGTAACTGGTTATCCTAATTTGTTTGTTTGTTGCTTGTTTGCTTGCTCGCTTGTTGTTGTTAATCTGGTAGCCCTAGTCTCTATTGGTGTGTCAAGTCCTGTCCCACGTGGGGTTAGTTTCTTAATTGTTAATAACAGTAAGAAAAAAATGCATGTCCTAAAAATCATTATGTTAAATCTCTTAAGTCACTCAAAGTCAAAAATACTGAATTTTATATCATGGTACTATCTCTATTTTCCATCAGTGTTGAAAAGTTCTCTAAGTACAAGTTGTTAATATTTCCCAAATGCTTCAACATCCCTGGCACATTCTGATGAATAATATTTTCCATTTACTCAAACGCATTAGTTTCAATTTTTTCTCCCTCAAACACCTCTATCCTAGAGCTTTCCACCCACTCTGCTCCATTCTGGACCTCCTGCTATTCAGCTGACATTCTGGGTCTTTTCCTTTGCAATTCTGCTATTTTGGTGTGCATACTCCTGAATTCCATGTTTGCTTTTGTTGTTGTTGTTTACCCAATTGTTTATAAGAGCACACGCTCCAGAATCTTCCTGGGCAGGGCTGCCCTAAAAGTAAGTATTTTGAGTCCTTGCAAACATGAGAGTGTCATCTGTCTTTCTTCTTTGAGGAACTGAGTAGAGTTTTAGCTAGAAAATCATTTTCAGGGGCACCTGGGTGGCACAGTCAGTTAAGCACCCTGCTCTTGGTTTTGGCTCAGGTCATGATCTTGGGGTCGTGGGATGGAGCCCTGCATTGGGCTCTGCACTCAGTGCAGAGTCTGCTTGTGATTTTCTCTCCTTCTTCCTGCCCCTCCTGCTTGTGCTGTCTCTCTCCAATAAATCAATAAATCTTTAAAAAAAGAAAAAGAAAATCACTTTCACCCAGAATTTTGTTGTTGCTCCATTGCCTCTAGTTTCCAGTGTTACTAATGATGAGAGATCTGATATCATCCTGACTCCTGACACTCTCCCCATGACTTATTTGTTTCCCTCTTGAACCTTTCGGTACTCACTCCTCAATCTTTGCATTGATGATGTGCATTTTTTTTCACATTTTGATATTTATTAACAAAAATGGTCCAGAAAAGGATTGAGTAAAAATTACAGCGATAAGGTTTAAAATAAGAGTTGTATTTAGTTCTGTTGTCTCTAGGGGAGTGTAACCAGTCTAGAAAGCTGTTTAATCTCCTAAAACAGGACTCAGATCACACCACTCAAGTGTTAGATATCAAAAGAAATTTTCCCTTTTCTCTTTTGTCAAAGCAAAATATAGTGGAGGTTTTTACTCACAAGCCTGCTTTCCAGGGGATGAACTGGGGAGCAGTGGAAGGAGTAGACAGAGAGGTTAAAAAAGAAACAGGCAAAATCTTGAAAGAAAGAATGAAAGCCAGTGAAGAAAAAGGGTTCCTGAGTGCCCAAGAATCATTCACTGAAGTCATCCTCTAGTCATTCCATATCCATTTCCAGAGAGGAATTTAGACAGGCCGGAGCCGATGATGCATCCTTGGCTTTCTGGACACTTGGTTTGGGTTGAGGAGTTTCTGGCTGGATGGATTCCTTCCTGAAGTCTTTATTACCGCTTAGAATCCGTTGGCTCTCAAAAAAGAATTGATTAGGATGGCTCAAAGAAAAGCCACAATCATCCACATTATGTATCATCTCGAAGTACTTCTGACAGGCCCCTTGGTAATGTGTCCTTTTTACTAAATCCAAGATCTGCTGTACCCCTCCAGGAGAGATCTTGTAGGACTGCAACTTCTGCTTCAGCAGCTCTGGATCGCTGTGATGGAATGGGCACCCATGATAATCCCCATGGCTTGGTGGATTGGTTAGAATAATCTTCATGCAACTGAAAGGCGTATAGTCTGTCCTCTTGCCTTCCTTTCCGAAGCTATGATGGATATTGTAAGAGTAGCCTTTATCAAACTTGTCTGGATCCATCTTTCCTCTGATAAATTCTTGCTTCCAGAACTGCAATGCCTGTTCCAATGTTAAACCAATACCCTTCAGGAAGAGGCTATACTGCATCCGGCCTCCATGACAAAGATGGTGATTTTCCCGCAAGGCTTTATGTAACTGACGCATGCACGGTGGGAAGGATTTGGTAGAAAGCGAATCAATCCGGTCTAAAGAAATCTTCCCAGCATTCTTCTGTGTGCTGTAATCTTGACCAGTGTAAGAATGACTGAGGTGGTTAAGTAGAGGCTGAAGTCTCTCGTCGGACTGCACAGCAGGCAAGGACCTGGCTGTTAATGCTAAAGCCTTGGACAGTTTCGCTCTGAATTCATTCAGGACAATTGCCACAATGTCTTTAAGTGGTACATAAGTGAAGCCACCTTCCAAATAGACTTTCCTTCCTCGGAACAAATCCAGAGCATCAGCAAAAGGGATCTTATAAACTGACTCCAACTCCAATTCCATCTTAGACCCACTCAAACTGGGAGAGGAAGCAAGAATCTCTGGTTCTCGGACACTCTTCTCTTCATCACTTATAGCCTCAAAGTGCAAATGGCTATCCTTTAAGAAATTTTGAATTTTGTCCTTGGGTAAAATACTGAATCGAAATCGAAGGAGATCCATTTCTTGTTGAATGAACCAGCGTCTAAGATCCTCAGACTGGCAATAAGCAAGGCGTAAAATAAAGTGAGAAATATGATCTTTTCTTCGTGGTTCATACTCATTCTCTAAGTTTTCTCTGAAGGAAAACTTGAGCTTTCTTATCTCATTCTCCAACTTACTCTGGTATAGCTCAGTTCCTTTCACATAGCTCACACCAAGATTTTCAACTGCTTTTAGCAATTTAACTCTATCAATAGCCAAGCTTTCAAACTCGATCAAAGATATGCTTTCAGAAGGTGGCTCCAAGTAAAACTGAAGGCTATGAGGGTAGCAAACATTCCTTTGGTCACCTGTCAACCTCAGTTTTTTCCGCTTTCCTCCAGAAAACTGCATCTCGTTACTGCAACCACACAAAACACGAAAAACCCAAACCAACAGGCGCTGTTCTCAGATAGCGGGAGAGTTCATATTGATGATGTGCTTTTATATGGGTCCGATCTTAGCCTTGGGGCTGGGGACTTGTAGTAGTATCCCAGGGCTGCCGTGATGAAATACTGCAAGTTGGTGGCTTAAGGCAACAGAAATTTCACCTCTCCACAGTTCTGGACGTTAGAAGTTTGAAATGAACGTGTCAACAAGCTTGGTCCCTTCTGGAGGCTCTGAGGGAGAATTTGTTCCATGCCTCTCTTCTAGCTTCTAGTGACTTCTAGAAATCCTTGCTGTTCCTTGGCTTATAACTTAATCACCCCAATTTATGTCTGTGGTCACATGGCCTTCTTCTCTGTGTGTCTCCTCTATGTCTCCGTGTGGCCTTCTTATGAGAACACCAGTCACTGGATTTAGGGCCCACTGTAAACCAGTATGACTGCATCTTAGCTTAACTAATTACATCTTTTTTTAAGATTTATGTATTTATTGGCGGAGGCGGGGCAAAGGGAGAGGAAGAGAGGATCTCAAGCAGACTCGCGCTGAGCCTGGAGCCGGATGCGGGGGCTCGATCTCACAACACTGAGATCACAACCTGAGCCAAAACCAAGAGTGGATGCTCAACTGGGTGTGCCAGTCAGGCACTCCTTAATTAATTACATCTTTAATGACTGTATTTCCAAATGAGGGCATATCCTAGGGTTCCAGATGAACATAAACTTGGGGGGTACATTATTCAACCCAAACAGGGATTCATGGGTCCCTTTCATTCTAGAACTCACCTCCTTCACTTCCCGATGCTTTTTTAAATTAACTGATGCTTTCTTTGCCTCTCTTTTCTCTAGTTTTGCTCTCTGAAATTTTTGTGATTTGTATCCTGGGCATCCTGCAATCATCCTCAACTGTTCTCATCTTTTCTCTGCTGGCCCTTTCCTTTCTTTTTGGTTATACCCTCCTATGAAATTTCAGTTTCAGCTTCTGTTTCCATTTCATTTCATCACTGAATCTCCAAACATCCTTTCTCTTCCTGAGATTCTCCTTTTTTTAATAGCCTCTTGTTCTCATGCCATGGATACAGTATCTTCTAAAATCTCTTAGGATATTAACTAGTGGCTATTGTTGCTTCTACTAATGTTATGGTTTTTAAACTTTCCTTGGTTCTTGCTTTGTCTCTTTTTCTTCCAGGAAGATGAAAACATATCTTCGGCAAGTTGAAGACTTTCTGCAAAGATGAAGCGATTCTCTGTTGTCCTTCCTAAAAAGTGAGATACTACAAAAGCAGACTGGAGTCTCTATGTGTAGGGACGGAGTTGGTTTGGGGGGACCTGCCCTGCAGGGTGATGACACAATAAACCACTTCTCATGTTCAATCTCTGCAGAAAATAAGCGCCCAGGCTCTCATCAGGAGTAGGTAGCCAGCAGAGCAGGATGGAACAGGGAATCTGACCTCTCGTAACACCATATAATTTTTTTTTCAACCTACCTCTCCTTTTATTCACCCCTGCCCTTTGTAATAGCTTGTTGGATGAATAGAGTAGAAAAGCATACTATTTTTTAGGGCTTAGTGTGGATCCAGCACATTAGCCAACTTAACTTCCATTTCTACCATTTGAGGCCACCACCAACCAAATGTTCCCCTCAAATATTGCTTTTGGAATGATGATGAGAATGACTCAAGGAGCACCTGGCTGGCTCAGTCGGTTAAGCGTCTGCCTTCGGCTCAGGTCATGATCCCAGGGTCCTGGGATCGAGTCCCACATCAGGCTCCCTGCTCAGCAGGGAGTCTGCTTCTCCCTCTCACTCTGCCTGCCACTCTCCCTGCTTGTACTCTCTGTCAAATAAATAAATAAAATCTTAAAAAAAATAGAATGACTAAAAACGTCCTTATATGATGTGAGAAGGAAGAGACAGCATTTGCCAATAGTCTGCCAAAGCTGCTGTGGAGAATTCTAGAACAGGAATGGGGTGAAGATGCAGTAATAACTGGAGTTGAGAAACCCCTAAATGGCCAGGGATGGAATCCCGGCTGCGAAATAATACTGGTATCGGACTAGAGGTAGCAGGTAGAGCAGGGCAGTGGGGGTGATGTGAGGGAAGGAGAGAGGCCACCACACTCAGGACTCTAGTGGTTAAAACAGAGATTTGAGTTTGAGTCCCAGCTCCTGTGTCTTCCCATCAATTCTGGCTCCATTTCTGTCTCACATGTTTGGCCTGAATCTCTTCCTTGTGTGTGATTTTCTGGAGAATGTCATGTCACATTAGATACAACCCCAGTGCCTTCACATCGCAAAGTGCCTCAGACCAAAGATATATGAGCTCCTCTCCAGATGGTTTAGAAAAGAGTGAGGGAGCAGTGGTGGGGAAGTGGGTTCTCACAGCACCTTCAGAGATTGATTAGATTGGACTTGGGCCATCACAGCTTTGGGGGGGGAGGGTTGTTTGTTTGTTTTAAACCCTCTGCCACTGCCACTGGCCTTTAGTTTGTCTGTAACTAGTTTGCTGGCTAGCTTTCTCTCCTCCAGAGACCTCTCTGCCTCTTTCCATGGTGGCTCCTGAAAGCTGTCAGATTCATCCTGTGTCTTGAGCAGAATTTAGTTCTCTTTGTTCCAGTTTGCTACCTAAAGAAGACCACCATTTTATTGATAAATGGCCTGTTGCTGTGTTTTAATAAGCAAACGGTCAGCCAATCTGGGGCACCTGGGTGGCTCAGTCAGTTGAGTATCTGACTCTTGATTTCTGCTCAGGTCATGATCTCAGGGTCATGGGACCGAGCCCCTTATTGGGCTCCATGCTGGGCATGAAGCCTGCTTAGGATTCTCTCCCTCCCTCTCACTCTGCCCCTCCCCAACCTCTCACTCTAACTCTCTTAAAAAAAAAAAAAAAAAAGTTAACCAATCTACAAAGAAATGTTACCACCCCTTAAAGAGACAAATATTACTGCACATGTTTGATTAGTAAAAGAAGAAGTTTTATTTTTCTCATACCTCTGTACAGTCATATAGTGTGGTTTATGGAGATGTGTGTGTGTGTGTGCACACATATACACACATTTCACATGTATATGCACATGTGTGTATGTTATAAATACAAATGTGACACACACAAACTATATGCATGTGCATATAGAGAGTTAGAGAAGTTTGGAATAGTATTTACCAAAACTCCTAATGAAGGAGAATAGAAGTTCTCTCTGAAAAGTGTCATTAAAGAAGTGCTTTGGTTTTCCACATTTTTTATAGGGATGTATTACTCAAATAATGAGAAAATAAAAGCAAAAATATCTCCATTTAGAAAAAAAGTAAAATAAGTATGTATCAGATGAGTAATAAACATAAAAAGTCTAAGTGGGGTCACAGAGAATTTTTTAAAAAGAACAAAAAGACATTTATAATAGAAAGTCATAGTCTTAAAAAACTTACTAAACAGAGGATAACACATCTAATGTAACATTCCAATAGTAACAAAACAGAGTCCCTAAGTGCATTTCATGAAGAATGAAAAAATACAGCTAAAGGTTAACGAAAGCCAAGGTGCAGGAAGTCAGTTGTAAGACCTGCAAAATCGATATAATCTGGAATTGCATTCATCTTAAGGAAGTGGGTGCTGCATACTTCCCCTCCTCATTTACTTCTTCATGATATCTCTGGTTTCTCCACTGGACTACTCCAGCTCAGATCATTTTCTTTATGGAAACATGTTAAATAAGTTAAGGACATTAAGCAATTTGGTCGATTTTGTGGAGACACAGTGATTACGTATGCAATCCCACATCTGGTATAGACAAAAGTCCAAATTTCACTGTGGTAGTTGCCATATGCTCACCTCATTTCCCCTTGGCACTCTCAAATTGATGATACCATTAGAAAAAAATACAAACCCCAAGAAGTTAGAAATAATCTCAAATTTTTTAAAAAGAGAAAAAAAGAATAGGGCGTAAGTCAAAGGAGAGAAAAATTCCTGAATGTCTTGGGGTTTTTTTTCTGATTATAAAAGGAAAAAGTAATTAAATATGATTCTTTTAAAAGGTGATGAGGTCACAATGACAGCCTAGGTTATCTGGACTAGTTCTCCCACTGAAAACGGCTGAAATGGCAGCATTAAACATTTTTAATTATTTTAACTGCATCAAGGAGCTAACAGAATAGAAAGGAAACACCAAATAAGCGCTAAAAGAAGAAAGGTAAATGGAAGAGTTCAGAGTTGCATTTGCTCTGAAGCCATTTGCCAGTCTGTTTTTGATGGCCTTGTGGGTTGAGTGAAACAAGAGCTAAAGCATGGGGCCCATTCCAAGTTGTGTGTCTGGTGAACCACCTCGCATATGCATTAAGCTGAGATCTCAAAGAGCTAGGCTTCAGGGAAGAATAACCAAGCAGTCTATCCACCCACATCCTTCCACCCCAGCAGTTTTCAGGGAGAGGTATGCTGGCACTGAGCAGAGCAAGAGAAAAGAAAGGAAGGAGAAAACAGAAATAATTGTCCATGAGAGCATGTGAATCTTGTCTAGGCTTTCTCAAGGATTTATAGCCCCGATTTTATAGCACCTTACATCCAAAAATATATAAATAATGATTCTTAACTTAAAATAGTTTTTCAGGGGCATCTGGGTGGCTCCATCTGTTTAGCATCTGACTCTTGATTTCGGCTCAGGTCATGTTCTCCTGGTTGTGAGATCCAGCTCTGCATCAGGCTCCACACTCCGTGTGGAGTCTGCTTGAAATTCTCTCTCCTTCTCCCTCTGCCCCTCCCCCTGCTCACGCTCTCTCTCTCTCGCTCTCTCAAATAAATAAATAAATAAATAATAAATAAATAAATATCTTTTTTTTTAAAGATTTATTTGTTTATTTGACAGAGAGAGACACAGCAAGAGAGGGAACACAAGCAGAAGGAGTGGGAGAGGGAGAAGCAGGCCTCCCGCCGAGCAGGGAGCCTGATGTGGGGCTCGATCCCAGGACCCTGGGATCATGACCTGAGCCGAAGGCAGACGCTTAATGACTGAGCCACCCAGGCGCCCAATAAATAAAATCTTTAAAAAGATAGTTTTTCA